TTTGTGTGTGAATTATGTACTTTATTGTTTTTTTTTTGAAATTGGATTTTCAGGGTTTGTGTTATTTATAATTCTGGAGTTTGCAGAGAGAGAGAAATGAAAAAGGAAGCAGCGCAGTGAGCGTTCGTTTTTATAGCGGAGGAGAGAGAGGGACAGTGAGAGAGGAAGGTCGAATAGGAAAGTTCCGGAAAGTACCCGACCCGATTAGCTGGAGCCCTACCCTGCCGTTTCCGGCGTTTGTTGGAGGACAGTTTACTTTTGGGCTTTTTGTTTGGACTTTTTTTACAGAGGACATTTCCTTCTTTTTTTTTTTCTTTTTTTTTTCATGTATAAATTGGATTAAACTTTACCACATCACTTATTGCATGTATTTTTTTACTAATCTAAAATTTACCACCACTTACTCACTACTACAGTATAGTGGTACTCATTTTTACTTGTAAGTAAGAAATCTTAAGTTCGATTTTTGCCAAAAACGAATTTGAATCACATTATTGCAAACTCATTGTTAGGCTTATCCACTCCCCTACCCTTTAATGTAGATAATATCGTTTGTTAGAAAGAAAAAACATTTACTACGTCGCTTATGGTATTTAACTTGAGGTGACGCCAATGTATTATTTGGAAAATCAAGATAAAACCATGGTTCATACAAAATTATTATATCACTATGCATAATATATCGTAAGAAAATAACCGAAAGTTATTCAGTGCTTCGAATTTACGTGGAGATAGGTAGAGAAAATAAAATTTGAGAAATGTTAGTAAGACACCAAAAGTTATTCGGTGCTCCGAACATGACAATGTAAGAGAAGAAAAATGCGCTCTTGCAGGAGTACTGACAACAACTCCTTAAAAATAAAAAAAAACATTTAAAAAAACATTTTTGTTTTTGTGATTTTTTTTTTTTTTTTGGTCAATCAAAAAAAAAATTTAGCTTAAGGAGAAGAGATGAGTAGAACGGTATGGGTCACGACGTAAGAAGGTTGATATGTAGGCCCAATGTTTCAGTCAAAAAAGGCCCAATATCTAGTGGCATGAGGCGGGAACAACTTAAAACGCACCGTTTTAGTGAGAACAAACAAACCTCACATCCACCAGAAGACATCAGTCACATTCTTCTTCAGAAAATCCACAAACCAGCAGAAAAACATTCAAATATGAATTTCAAAACTTTGGAAATTTGGAACTGGATTAAAGAAAAAAATGTCTAAAACTTCCGAAAACTACGAAATTCCAATGCTGCAATGCAAACATAAACGTCAGGTTAAGCCGTAAATCAGCGCAAATTCTTAAGGTTTTACATTCGTCCAGTAACTTGATAACTAAAACTGAAATCTAGAACAGCAGCCTCATAGCGCCCTCTGGATTGCAAACACGCAGACCGGAGAAGCAACGTGCAATCACGAACAAGGCCAAGCCGTGAAACATAACCAATCAAATCATCATCATTTTCTTGCGCTTTCGGTGACGCTTTTTAAGAGCATCAAGCTGCATCATTGCCCAATTACCATCAACAATGTCATCATCATCATTAATCAGAACACCCCTCTCTGTATCTCGAATGGTTCTGGTAACGTCACATGCTACCTCATACATCCCAAGCCAAGTGGCTAACTACACAAGCACAGAATGGCCGAGGATGTGCCAGAAACATTCTTGGGAAAAAAATGAAGAACAATGTAGCCGGCACCAAGTTTTCAGTTTCTGTGCAATCGCGTGGTTTCTGCCCGGCATGATTTCAATTCCTTCTGTATTCCTAAAATTCAACAGAAATTTCAAATATCGAATCGGGTCAGTTTAGATACACCCGTTGAATCACTATGCACATTTCACACCCAACATTAGACACAAGTTAGGAGATTCAACACTTTTTCAATACAAACACTTCACAAACATCATATGAGCAGCAAAAAAATTTCTCAACATGATCGATGGATCTGTCGGAACAAAATTAAAATGCAGAGACTCTCAATACTTTCTACACACAAAGCTTTCAAATATTGACTTGGGTGATTTTAGATACACCCTTTGAATCATTCTGCACACCCATTCTCCCAACAAGTGTGATGCATTATTTTTTTGCATAAACCCTACAAAAAAAAAAGGAAGAAAATGATGAAACTGAATAAATCTGTTTTCTTTCCTTTCTTTTTCTCACAAACCAAACAGAGGAAAAGCAGCAAATAACCACATCTGACAAATAGAAAGTAAATAAACGACTTTGCAAGTGATTAAACTCTACACATTCACAAATTTTCAACTAAAAACGAAATTTTCACAAAAAAAAAAAAAAAAAAATTGCCTGTTGGAAAAGATGGTAGCTTTAGCTTTGTGAACGCCAGAAAGAGAGATGGAGCTGCCATGGAAAAAGAACACACTTAAATCAGTAAAATTAAAACCGCCAAATTTCCAAAACCCAGAACTAAAAACAAATACCTTGACGGGAGTTAATCGGAGGAGATAACGCAGAGAAGTGGGTTTCTGTTCTTCCCTTCTTCCCTCATGAATATTGCCCAGTGCTCTCTCTGCAAGTAACCCACTCCGGCAAATAAACAAGGAGAACGTTCATAATATATTCCACTGGTCTCTTTTCTTCACTTATGATCAACGGCTTTGGACCGACAAAGTACAAGATCAACGGCTCTGATTAATGAGCACGCTCTTGCATTCCAATAAACCCCCAATTTTTCTTAATACGACATGTTTACATTAAAACAGGTAGAGAAATAAATTGGAATTGAATCTGTTATACTTGATAATCGAACTTAAAACTTTTATTATATGCCAGTGAAGAAAAATATTATTATATTATAATATTAATTAGCTAAACCAATTCTTCCCGTTTGTTAGCCCATTTTTCTTTCAAAATTTGGCTTGATTTTGAAAAAAATTGAAATTAGTTACCAAATGGTCATTGAGTGGTCATTTCAAATCGAAATTGAGTAGTGAAGTTGGGTGCATGGTTTTCTAATACAATGACATATTTACAGTAATTAATATGGAATTTGATTATGTCACCCAATAAACTAACAATAATAATTGGTATCGACCTCCACATTTATGAGAATTGAACGTAAAAATTTTCCATTCAAATGAAAATGAATAGTACTGAGTTGATGTACTAAATGACGGTTGATAGTTGAACTAAAGCACTAACTTTGATCATGGGGTCAAAATCTCTTTTCTCCTCTTAGTATAGTTTAGGACAATAATATCGCTTGTAATAAAAAAAATATTATATAATTTTATTATTTTCAATTGGTTTTTGTCTCGAACCTCTAACAAACATTTGAAATTTCTTACACATCAAAATAGACTCGTCAATAGTCATTAAGATGAGATTTTGATACAATTTCAAAGACGAGACTATACCACTGGAATTCTGCACATTTCAACACCATAGTTTGATTTGCACATGATTTTGATAAGTAACATGGTTTTCACAAATTATTTTTAGTTTCTTACCCACCATTTCTTATTTTTAGTCATCGGATTGAATAAGTCTAACAGAATCAACAACCAAAATTAAGCAAAAATGTGTAAAAAGTTAAAACGAATGTGTTTTATCATTTTTGTTTTGACAATCATTTATAACTCCAACTTCCATGCAAGGCTAGCCCCTGGCCTAGTTCGGGTTGGGCAACCGTCCGGGGCCCAACAAAATTGGAGCATCAAAATTATTAGGGTGATATATTCACATATGTTTTTATAAGAGTATAAATTTATAAAATTTGGTTAAATGATCAAGAATTTTAACTAGAATTAATAGTTTGTTGCTTAAAATTAATGTGGAGGTCATGGGTTCAAAGTACTATATTTTTATTTACATTCTAATTTTTACGATATATAAAAAAATTTAATCAGAAGCGGTGGTTTCTGTTGTTTAAAATTAACGAGAGGTCTGGAGTTCAAAATGTAATGTGCATGTTTATTTTTTCCAATTTTTATGAATTTTTAAATGGAAAATAAATTACTTTTTTTATGTTAATAAATTATTCAGTTTGAAGTGTTTTTTTAAGTATAATTTATCGAAACCTTACGTGTAAAAACAAATAATTTTTTTATATAAACGCATATTTTTTGTGTCGCTCCGAGCCTTAAAAATCTCAGAACTAGACCTTGCTTCCCTGCATTCATCGTAAGCAAAATTTGAGATTTGTTCGTCAGGTTTCGACAAATCTCTATGACTATAATAGATAAAAAGGTGACAAAAATTTGAATCGGAAGGTTGCACAATCTTCCTACACGACAAATATACATGTATCGTGTGGTGGGGGGAGAGAGAGACGTGGTAGCCTACTAGGTTCTCGTGTGGGTTTGGTCGGTGGACAATAATTGGGTCCTCACTAGGGAAGATCCAATTTACTCACCAAACTACGCGGACTAATCATTTTAAAATACCTGTAAACTTCAAATACTTGCAATATTTGTAACCAAACAGAAACTCTCACTTAAAGCATGTTACCAAATAAGGATCTTCTTCGTCCACTTCATCTTTTGTCGGTCATTTATCGTGTATCGTACAATCAGAAATCATTTGTTTTTTTTATTTAAAATTAAACACAAATAGTATTTGAGAAAAATTGAGCGTACGATATACGATAAACGGATAGAATATGAGAATACTATGATGTGACAATGATATCCGTAGTTAGGCATGCTACGTCAGAATATTATCACTTTTAGTCTTTTATTGATGAATTTGACGGAAAATAGCATAGTTAATCGAAATTGGAGTTTGGGGTGTAAAATAAAGAAATTTGAATTTTAAAGGACAAAGTAGAGTTTCGGGCGTAGCAAAAACTCGACTGTGAAGAAATGATTTGTTCGAAGCAAGCAAACGGTAATAAAAGACCTGGATTTAGTTAAGGCGATCTAAACTTAGTTAAGTTTGATAGACAGATAATGTGTATATCCCTCCTGCACTCAAATTTTCATCTCTGTAATTTAGATACAATATATTATATAGCTTGGATAAAAAAAAATATTGCCTTGTGAAAAACAAAATTTTATAAGCTTTGCTGCACGACCTTTTCAAAATCGAATGGAAAAAATTAGGGTTTTGGTTTTGGGTGTGATAAGAGCCAGCCCAATTTTCAAAGTAGTTCAAATACAAACGGGCCACAAAAGGATCCGTCGGGTGTTAGCGCCACCCCGCCCTCTTCCCGCGCCGTCGTCAAGATTCAATCATCCATCCATTCTCCGATTTCCACCCATAAACCAATAAACGCAGCGTTTCAGAATCCAAATGGAAAAGCTGTCACCTTCTTCTTCGTCGGTCGACCACAAAGCTTGGACAGAGTAAGCTGAAGAACAGCAAAACTCATTAGTCATCACAAATTCTCCACATTTGTCAATTTTTGCATGCCAATTTTCTAACACAATTGAAAATTTCAGGGCCCAAGATTTGCTGAAGCAAAAATTGATTGCGGAAGATGATTTCTCATGGAGATTAGGTTCAAAGTCAAACTCAAAGTCAATGGAGAGAGAGGAGGAGAAAGAGGAGGAGAGAGAGGAGGTGTTGAAGTATGTGGGAGGGGTTGATATAAGCTATTCAAAAGAAAATCCATCACTGGCGTGTGGAATTCTTGTGGTTTTGGAGCTCAAAACTCTCCAAGTTGTGTATCAAGACTTCTGTGTTGTCACTCCCAATGTGCCTTATGTTCCTGGCTTCCTTGCCTTCAGAGAGGTCCAATTTTCATGTCATAGGTTTTCGCGAGTTCGAATCCCCCTTCCCTTAGTTTAGAATATCGTCTTGTCAAAAAAGAAAAATGCATTACATTTTTTTCCATGTCATGAATTTTGCATCCCTATGGATGTAAGCGATTTGGTTGTTTGATGTATTTGATTGTTTGTATTGATTAGGCCCCAGTGTTGCTTGAGCTTGTGGAGAAAATGAAAAACAACAATAGTCCTTTCTACCCACAGGTGACCGTTGCCCTTGCATTCTCTGGCTACACGAATTCGTTATAATGTTAGATATTTGAACTTGTTTAGAATTGCTTAGAGTTTATCAGTAAGGTTTAATATTTGATTCTGGTTTTTCATTTTTACATATCAATGTCTTTTAACTTTATGCCAAATCCGGCAAGTTGGTACCTTACAATTTGGGTAAATAACAATGTTTATCTTTAATGTTAACAGCTTCTAATGGTCGATGGAAACGGAATACTTCATCCTCGAGGCAAGTCCTTTGGCAAAAATACCCGTGGACTATATGCTTACCCTTTGCAAATGAAGCTAAATCACCGCCTTTTCTTATTTATATACTTCTGCTTTCAAATGTGATTTGAGACCTATGGGGGGGGGAATGATGGTCTGAAATTGCTGAAAATATGATTTGGGAACACTTTTAGGCCTTGCGAATCTTTTGCTCACTTCATTTAGAACCTGTTAGTTCAATTTTTCGTAACTTAGACGAAACAGTCTGTAAAAATTGTGTCTTTACCTTAGTTGATTGAGAGCAGTTGGCCCCTCACTCAACTCAAGATTTTTTAAAAAGGGTAGAGTTTGTTTTGTAGGTTTTGGCTTGGCTTGTCATCTTGGCATTCTGGCAGATCTACCTACTATTGGGATCGGAAAAAATGTAATACTGATAGTAAAAATTATATTACATCCATACCTTTCATAATCTGGGCTTTCTCTGCATGTCTAACTTTGAGAAATTTCTCTTGATATAAATTGAATGCACGAGTTGTGACAAAGTACCGTATTTCAGCTTCATCATGTGGATGGTCTAACACTATCCGGAGTGAAGCAGCTTCTTGAAGCCCAAGAAGACAGTGCTGAAGGTTTTATTACTTTGAAAGGATATTCAGGCCGTATATGGGGAGCGGTAAGCATTTATAAGCTCTATTTCTCCTCTAATAACTGTTAATTTTTTTATTAAACTTTGATCTGCTATGGTTTTTAAACTGTGATGGGAATCTTTAGCGGTTGGAGTGCAGTACAAGGAACATGAAGATCCTTATCATTTTGGTTTTTTGTTTGTAATATTTTTGTTTATCTGAACAATCACGGACATATACTTTGATTAAAAAGTAGAGTGCCTTTGCTGGAACTATTTTCGCACTTTGCCTTGTGTTCTCAGTTTCAATTGATTCAATAAAACTGAAACGGCATTCTCTTTCTGTTTTTCAGGCAGCAAGATCTGCAGGTGGCTCATTGAAACCTATATTTATTTCAACTGGTCACCGTATATCACTTGATACTGCCACCAGAATTGTGAAAATGACTTGCAAATTTCGTGTCCCTGAGCCTATCCGGCAGGTGAAAACCGGAACTCTTGGAATGTTTTCAGTGTTTCCATATTCAATACTTCCTGTTTCTTACTAATATGCGGACATAAAAAAGCTGCTTGTAGAGCAGATTCTGTGGTGAGGACAACCTTATGGTTACAACACCTAGAATAAGCTTAATTTTTTAAACAACAATATACATTTGTATGGTGATAATCTCTTCTAATTCCGCAATTGGTCCAGAAAATCTCAATGTGACTTTCGTTAAGTTGTGAGGTTGTTCATAACACATAACTTTGGTCGTTGAGATTTGCATAACACATAATTTTGGTCCTTGAGATTTGCATAACACATAACTTTGGTCCCTGAGATTGTCCACCATCTATTATTTTGGTCCTTCCATTAAAAAGCTCATGGACCACTTAACGGAGTTTTTTAATGGAAGGACCAAAATAATGGATGATGGACAATCTCAAGGACCACTTCTATTGATTTTAAATCTCAAGGACCGAAGTTATGTGTTATGAAAATATCAGGGACCACTTAATTTACCACAAACTAAAGACAAAGATGCGTTCTAGTTCGCATGTTCGCTAAAAATGTTTGTTCCTCAGTTTTTAGAACCACCGAGTTCCATTGTATTATTTCATTAGTTGATGTTATGTTTGGGAAATTATATTCAAGCTTTAGCTGATCCTTCTGATGTTGATGCAGGCTGATATAAGATCTAGAGACTATCTTCGGAAGCATCAAACGAGAACGTCCAAAGATTGAGCGAAAATATGGTAAGTGCCCTGGTTACAACTCCAGGCTTTCCAAGAGATCCACTTCGCCATCTACACGTGAAGAAAACGCTCTGAAGTCCATGATGTGCAATCAAGTATCCGAATTCGACGAAGTCCAATCAACGTTGGGACAAGGAGGGGTGACAGTTGAAAAGTTTTGTAGACAACTTGGACAGTACGGAGGTCCCGGACTGCACTGACGGCTTAACATACTTCAACACCTCCTCTATCGTCCTTTCTGTGCTTGCGCTTTTGGCTGCAGCTATTCTCCATACGACATCATCGTCAACATTTTGGTCATCTTGTATAATTAACATCTCTCATCAACTACCTTATTTTTACTTTAATTTAAGTTTACCTTATATCTTCTAGCATGGCTTTAAATAAGAAACTACACTTTGATCATGGATGCGACAACTGCCTAATTAAACTTCGGAATCACAAAATTAGAGGAAATTGAAACTTTTGCGTCCAAATGCTATACAACTATGAATGTCTGAAAGTGAAATCTGACCATGCATCCAAAGCCTAGTTACTGCTCTTCAGTTTCCCCTTCATACTCCAAACGCCTTGAACGAAAATTTGAGCATGCCAACGATTATCGAGGTCTTACAAAGATCCATCGGAACTCTCGAAGCAATTTGACACAGCTCACCGTTAGGGTTCTGAAGCCCGGATACCTTAACAACCAGCCTTCTCACCATCTCTCGGAGCTCATTCCAGCTCCGGTCGTGCCCCGTAGTGCTTCGAAAAAGCAGTTGAAACCAACGAACTGTACGTAGGAACAGATAGTGCCTGAGGATGAACCAAGTGGTTGAGCGTCTCAAAGCTTCGCTATAGGTGGCGATGAAAATAAAAATTCCTTGCAAGGCAAGGGAGGGGAAGACAAGGAGCACACCGGTGAACAGTGATTTGATCCGCTTGTCGGATTCCAGTTTTTTTTTCCTTAGCTCTTCCCTAACTCTTCCTTTGTTTGCAGCCATATAGTTTTCATAAAATGCAAGGAATTATTTAATTCCCTTAATTAAAAAACAAATCAAAATTAATAGATTTTTTCATACAAACATATTATATGATGATACGACTAGTACAACGCTAAACTAGCTGTAAAAATTTGATTACTAGAGCTGAAATCTCAAGTGATTGAGGAATAAGCTAAGAGCAAAAAAAAAGGAATACGCTAGTATGATCGGTCGATATAAAAACAAACACACGCGCGCATGCGTACACATATGTATGCACACAAAAACAGACATGATATGCATGCATTTAGAGTGGTAGAAAATATATAAACCCTAATCACACTTCTAAGAGCTAGCTCTAGTTGCTAAACCAAAAGCAGAAAATATGGGGAGAGAGAGAGAGAGAGAGAGAGAGAGAGAGGGTAACCTTTGGTGAATGAAAGAGGTGGTGGTCAGGGGTTATCTTTGGGTTTGGTTGAATTTATAACAGTAAATTTGAACGAAATGTTTAAGGGAAGCAAACGGTAAAAAAACCAAAAGGGAAGTCTGTTTTTCTTTTTTCTGCTGTAGCTGCATGCCAGTCCTTTAACATTAAACGAGTACTCAGTGATCACTCACAGCACCGAAGGCTACGAATACTCGTTTAACGTTAATGGACTGGCATGCAACAACAACAACAAGGCATTTTCTTATTAAGTGGGATCGGTTATATGAATCCTAGAACACCATTGCGCTCGGTTCTGTGTCACGTCTTCTATTAGGTCCAAGTACTTTAAATCTTTTCTTAGAGTCTCTTCCAAAGTCTTCCTCTACCCCTTCGGCCCTCAGTCTTGTAATCGCATTTTCTAATACCAGAGCATCAGTAGGCCTTCGTTTCACATGTCCAACCCATCGTAACTGATTTTTTCTCATTTTTCTTTTAATTTCGGTTTCTCCTACTTTACCTTAGATATCTTCATTCCTATTCTTATCCTTTCTCGTGTGCCCACACATCTAACGAAGCATTCTCATTTTCGTTACACTCATTTTATGTACATGTTGATGCTTCACCATTCAACATTCCGTGTACCGTAAAAAAAAAAAAAAAAAAAAAAAAAAAAAGACTTCTCTTTTGGTTTTTTTAGCGTTCGCTTCATTTAAACATTTCATTTGTTCAAATTTACTGTGGTTGCATGTCAGGTGGCCATACGGCCCACACAAACAAAAACGCCCCCACCGCACCACCACCTGATTTTTCCACTCAAAACCGGACATTCTTGTCTCACCCCTCTCCCACATCAACGGTGGCCACACTTAATTAAAGATGGAGTTTGATTTGTTCAGGGTTTAGGGTCGATGACAGAAAACAGAGACTTCAATTTGTCGTGTATGTTGACTGATTAATGCTACACAAATATGAGTTCATTCAGCCCCAAATGTGCTTGACAATCCTGACTATTGTATATATTATTTTACACCAATAATATACAAAAATCCCTCCCAAAAAACAAATCACAGAACTGAATACAGGAACATAAACACAAACACCACTAATCCTAAATAATTAGGCTTTTCAAGGGAGCCGGCTCTGCTGTTCGCACTAGACGAATAAGATGACTGGATCATGATCCTAAATTTGCAGTTTCCAGTAGATGGATCACTCGTGGTGGTTGTTGAAAGGTTTGGAAACTTACAGGCAGTACCCAGCTGATCATTTATTTGATAGTAACTGTTAAATGCGTATGAAATGTTACCGCGAGCATCCAAATCTCCACATGAAGTTCCATATCCAAGACTGGTGCAATCAGCATTTGAACAAGCGTAGCTCACGCTTAGCGCCACTTCTGGATCATCAAGACTTGCCGAGGGTGACATGACACACCATTTCTTTTCCAGATATTGTACGCCGCTTGCTGCTATTAATCCATTCGAGCTTGTAGTTCCTAGACTGAGCTGATACTTGGGGGTTCCGTCATAGTAAAACAGCCCCCAATGGCGTTCAAAGTTACCTGGCTGAATGCTCTTGGCATCTTCATCGATGAGGCTAAATAAGTAGGCGTCCACAGGGCCGCTTCTCATTGGAGTCCCTGCGTTGTCCTTGATATGGGACATAAACCCTTGGTTGAACCGCTGGGCATACAGTAAATTTGCATTACGGTCCCCATCTGTAGGCCAACCGATCTCTCCAACAATTATGGACAAGTTTCCAAATCCGTTCTTCTGCAACGCCCATACAAGAGTGTCGTGGTTTGCATCAAATACATTGTTGTAGATTCTTCCATTGTCGTTAATGGGACTTGAGTATCCATTGAAGAAGGCGTAATCAGCAGGGAAACTGGGATCATTGTAGAGGCTTATGAAGGGATAGATATTGACGGTGAATGCAGCACCGTTGTCGCTCAAGAACTTGACAATTTCCACCACAAGATCCTTGGTGTCTGATCGGAAGTCTCCATTAGAAGGTAGGTCTGAGCCACTGCTGTCATAGACGTCAGCGTTGAGGGGAATCGTGACCTTAACCTGATTGCTCACACCGGCTTTTATGAGAGCTGACTGAATATTCTGAAGGGCAGGAAATATTGTTGGAATATAGGTTCCATTGTATGTTGACAACAACGGTTCATTCCCCACCGCCGCATACCTTGCAGAGAATGTATGAAACAGGTAAGGTCTCGAGAGATAAACTAGACGTAAATCATTTAGTTATAACTGGAAAGGCTGATATGATAAGAAAAAACAGTAACAACTAAGAACGGAAAGGGTTCGCATCCCCACCTTCTGGAACAGTTTTTCCTGATCATGAAATTTAGAGAATGTCTGCCACTATTATTCTTCAGTTCAATTTCAATATAGCTAATAGATTATGATTAGAATATGCTATATAACAGAATCTAAATTAATAGAAAGGGGTTCGTATTTAAATTTGTACGAGACTATAACCGATTGGAAATGTTTCATGCTGTAGGCATTGTTATGCAAATTTCATGAATGGAATTTCCTGTGCTGCAGCATGATTGTACTTTGTTAGATGGATATGGCTTTCTCTTTACTATTTACAGTGAAGACTAATTCAAAACAGCTGAAAAAAGGCTTTATTTACAAAGCCATCTAATGATAAAATCGACTTTCAACTAAAAACCACCACCTGAAATGAACTTAAACAAGGCAGAAGGATGAAGCATCATCACCCGAGTACAGAAACATTCAATTGAAATAACCTTGGAATGACAGGGGTGGTATACCGCAATGTGCAGTTTTGTAGAGAGATGCTCCAACTAGCTACTGCAGGGAGATTCAAACCTTTAAAACTAGGTAGGTGATTTTAACACTAGCGAGTGGTGGCTCAAGCATTGCAAACCACTCTGCTACTATACAGAAGTCCTATTTTTCTAATTATTGTTCATTTCACTGAAAAGCATCAGAGATGCAACTGAACCGAACCACATTGCCGGAAACGCTAGTCAAAATAAATTCCAACTCTAAAACCAAAGGACAGGTCAGGCAAGGTTCTAGCGGGATGAGATGATGACTGATAGCGTGAAAAAGACTCTAGGCTTCTAGCTTCCCCATATCATCTTTCAATCACGAAGAATGAATTACATAGCAGCTCATCAAGAAGTTGATTTCCTAGAAGCAATAAGATCACACACACACACCTCTCTAATGGATTCATTTGCATAGAGGCAAAAACCAAGGAAACTATCTTATAAGCATTCATAAACTAAGATTTGGGTACCGAAAAAGAATCTACGGGCCTTTTGATAACCACGTACTTTTCCTCTATTTAGCATAAAGAGTGAACTAAAACCGAAATTATTATCAAACGGCCCTGATGTTCAGGCTTCTAACTATTCTATTAGATCAATTATATGCATAGCTGCACATTTCTATGTAACTCCAATTGAAGAAACCCAATTTAAATCACATGTTCTATGAGAGAGAGAATTTACCTAATATCCACACCATTGGAGACATGTGAGGAGACATTCTTGGAAACCCATTTCTCAGCTGCCTGCTTACTGTTAGCCAAAGAATATAGCATCTCATTTGGAATCCCAACCATCACCTGAATCCCAGACTTGCTCAAAGCATTCAGAATATCCCAATCGGCATCGAAAAGCTTGACCTTTTGGATCCCGTTGTCCTTCAACATCTTCACAATTGTTGCTGGTGGGAGAGGGTGCGTTAACTGTGTCCCCCAGTTCACTCCAATCCCAACCACTAATCCCACCCCAAGATTTAAGAACAAGAAGGCAATACTTAGGCCTCTAAATCCCACACCTTTCAGCAACCCCATCAAAATCCTTCACCCAAAAACTGGGAATTTGAGTTGAAAACTGGTTTTGGAAGTAAAGTGAGTGAATATAAGACAAGGGTTTGAATCTCTAGTGCTAAAGTTTGCAACTTTCAGCTGCTGAAGCTTCAAAATTTTGAAAAACCCAGTTCTAAATTTGAAAGCAAATACTGCTCCTACTAGCCCAAGGAAATTTCAAAACATGGAAAATATTAATTGAAGTAAAAAGACAAACTTTCTAATCGTGAACCAAAATTGAAGTGTGGCAACTATAAGAATACAAGAAGAAGAAAGTAAAGCATAGAGGGTCAGAACCAAAGAGGAAACTAAGGCTAAAAAGTAAAAACTGAAGATTTTTGGGATATATAAATAGTTTTTTTCTCAGAGAAAGGAGTAATGATTGATTTGAAGAGGAGATCAGGTTGGTTTGGCATAAAGTGGCAAAGATTTGGTATAAATGCTGAAAATTTAGATTACTTCAAGAGGAACAGGACAGGGTTTTTGGGATATTGGAATTCTTACTAATAAAGGAAGAGGAAAAAAAGAGAATAATAGAAGAATGTTTTCTGTTTGTTTGGGTGAGAGTTGAACTTGATTGATTGGAGGATTATAAAACTAGGTTCTGAATTATATAATGGTAAATGATATTAGAATAATTAAAGAAGAGTGTCGATTCTGTGTACTTTAAAAAGGAAGAGTCTTGAACCATGGGGATAGTTTAGACTTTCTCACCTCCATAATTTCATTGCTGATTATGCAAAGCAAATATTTAGTTATTGTGCTTACCTTCCGTGTCTATCTACTGCCAGAGTGTTCAAGTACAGCCAGAGTGTCCAGGTGCTGCCAGAGTGTTCAGGTGATGTGTGAAAGTTCACTCTCTGTCAGCAAATAGAGAATAACTCCTCCTATGCGTTTGAGATCCATTGTGTTTAGACCATCTCTAACTGAATGAGCAGGGTCGGTCCTAAGAATTTGGGAGCTTTATGTGAGTTTTCGAAGTAGGGCCCTAATATTTTCTGATTTCCGGTTCTTTGTACATTGATATGTATAAAAAAGAATTTACTAAATACATAAATATTCTATTTCCACATCCAATATCATTAAAAATTAATATAAAAAGAAGATAAATATACAAACATTACATAAACATTAAATGGCTCATGTTTTTAGATTCAAATGTACTAAATGTTTGTGGTCAAGAGTCTAAGATTAAGAGTGAAGAACAATAAAACTTGATGATCAAGGGAGCAAAGAACAATAAAACTTGATTGATGAGTATAATAAATTCAACAACGCCAATTGTTTCTTTTGTGTTTTTTTTCGTAAAATCAAAATCACACTAACAAATCAAATATTAAAACAATCCATTGAATAAAAAATATTGAAAAGAAAAATATAAATTCAAAGTTTTGATTACCTTAAAGTACAATCTTCAAGACCATGTGATAGTTGGTTTAAAAATTCGATAGAAATAGGGAGATTTGGAAGTTGAAAGAAAAAAAGATTGCAAAGGAACTTGAGTTTTATAACTTTATATGCATTTGGACAGATAGATTGGGAGTTGGACAGATGGATTGGCAGTAAATTTGAGAAACAAGAAAAATTTAGTGACTAAAAAAGGCATCTTTGTGTTTTGAACTCCGCAACCCAAAGAAAAAGAAAGTCGAATATTTCCACTGCACCAACAAATGAATTATGAAATCTCTTTTTTTTTTTTTTTTTTTTTTTTTTTTGTATTTATATGTTATTTACAAGATATAAAAAAATTTTGGGGGCCCCTTCGAAGTGGGGGCCCTAGGCGGGCGCCTACTTGGGATACCCTTAGTGTCGGCCCTGCGAATCAGGGTCAGATGGTTCTCTTTAACCCTATAAACCTTCAAGAAATTATATTTTAATTAACAGTGCCAGACTATATTTCATACCATCTCCAATCGAGGGGGACATAGGCCAAATATAGCCCTGTGACAAAAAACCATCTCCAACCGAAGGGGCCAAAGGGTCATAGGCCAAACATAATTTATTATTTCAATTTAAAGACTACAACAACTTAAATTTAAAAACTACAACTTAAATTTGAAAACTACAACTTAAATATTAAAAACTACAACAATGTAAATTTAAAGACTATAATCATCATCATCATCATCCGCTATTGTAGGAGTATAACCGGATGTAAACAACTCCCGTCGAGCCATAATTTCTCTCTTTTTCCTATCAAAATATGCCTTACTCATTGGAGTGTAATCCGAAGTTGTGAGACCCTGTATTTTAGAAATATATGTTTATTTGTTGCAGTCATATTTAGAATAGGAATGTGATTGTGTAAATCTTAGTAAATCTAAAATATCTCTTATATTCTTATTAGGAGTTGATTATCTATTAAGAGTTGTAATCCTAAAGCGGTAAGGTTTTTACCTATCCAACTACTATAAATAAAGGCACAATGAGGTGATACAAAGCACACCTCACAATTAAATCTCTCTATTCTCTCTCTTGCTACCACTGGCCCCTCTTTCTCTACTCCTTAGTATAGTTCAGTCAAATAGGCCTATAACACGTTATCAGCACGCTCTTGCCAGAAGCTAAGGCACTGACGGATCGTAGGAGGAGGCTATCTTCCACAAAATTCAAAGGCTCTTATTTGTTTTCTGCCAATCAGGTATGCTTAAAATAAAGGAAGATATTTGAAACGACCATGAAGCATGAAAACCTTCCCCATGATGCATGAACCCCCTATGTTTATATTTTCCTTCTGATATATATATATATATATATATATAATGTATATGTTTCATATATTTGTCAATATATATATATATATTTGTTTCATGCATTACACAATTAAATTGTTAAGTGGAATTTGTGAGTCAAAGCATATAAATAAATTGGAAGTAATTTAGGGTTCTCAAACCCTAGGATGTCGAAAAAAAAAATGAAATTTTTTTGGGAACTATGCAACACGTCCGCCGCACCACTATTGTGGCACCGCTATTAACCTTCACGTTGGCTTGCAGCCCAGCCGCGTCGAGCACATCACCAGGGCGACGTCGTTTTGGCCTGACCCGTGGTTATAGCCTATTGGGCTAGCAATGAGCAAGGATAACTCCGCTTCTTTGGCTTGGGTTTGGTTCGGTTTGGGCCTGCAGCCTTAGCCCACCTATCAGGATAGCCCGCAATTGTTTGCTAGGCCCTGCCCTCGCACCCATGGCCCATCACCAGAAATTCGTATGTTGTTGGGCCTAGTCCTGCACTCTTGGTCCTCCTTGAGCAAGCCCACATTGCTTGCTGGGTTATGCCCAAGTCTCGACTCAATCGCCCCTAACTTTTGTTGTTGGGCTTGAACTGCCTTGAACCCAAAACTCGAAACCCAGCTTTGGCTGGGCTTCCCTAAGCCAACCTAAAGGCCAGCTTTTGCTGGGCTTGCCCTGTGTCCACCCATTCGACCCAAAGCCAGCAGCCTTGGCTGCTGGGCTCCCCAAACCCTCTTGGCCCGAGGCTTGCAACCTTCCCCGAGCCCAACACATCTGCAGCTGAACCATTAGGGCCATTTTCCCATATTATTTTGCTTCCACGATCGACCCCGTTTGGTCCCGATATATTGAATTAATTAAAAGTGACCTAGAGTCCATTAATCTGATAATGAATCTAAAATTATTAACCTAAATACTATTTTTGGACATTAACGATTTAATAATTTATTTTTATACTTTAAACTGTTGACATACGTTCGTAGTAACAAAGCTCTCACACTTGAGTTCTTGAAGAAACTCAAATCCACTATACTTAAATTATCATATTGCATTCTGTGTTTCTTGCACGAACCTCTCTTTTATGAACTAATCGTTCATAAAAACTAAATTAAACCTGTAGTTTCATATTTAGTGCATTTGAAACCTGAAGTTTTCATTCAAAACTTACCATATGAAACCTATAGTTTTCATGCATAAATTAAACCAATACATGTCTATAGAACTTGTATGTTCTACGATTTCACTACTTTGGAAGCATTTGGAAGTCTCTGGAAGAAACTACCTGAAGTGGGTTCAACACGTGAAGCTCCATCTTACTACAAAGGGTATTAGAGCCATCATTGAGGCATCTACCGATGACAAACCCATCGCAGAAGCTCATAAAGCTAATGCAATGATCTTTATTCGAAGATAAATCCATGATGCACTACAGACCGAGTACCTCGTTGAGGAAGACCCACACACTCTCTGGCTTACTTTGGCCAATCATTTCGATCACTAGAAAGGCATATACTTGCTTGAAGCAAGACACGACTGACAACATCTTTGCTTCCAAGACTTTAAGTCCGTGAATGAATACAACTCTGAAGTTTGTAGAATCTGATCATTTCTGAAGTTTTGTAAAGTAGAACTTACCGAATCAGATCTCTTGGAGAAGACCTATTCGACCTTCTATGTCACCAATATTATCTTGTAGTAACAATATAGGGCACAAATGTTCACCAAATTTTGGATTTGATCTCTATCCTACTTCTCACTGATAAGCAGAACCAGCTTTTGATGAAGAATCATTAAGCTCAACCGATTAGCTCGAACGCCGTGCTTAAAGCATATGCAACAAATTCTAGCAGCCAAAAACAACTCAAGAACCATCGTGGTTATGGCAATGTGCGGCAAGCTCAACCACAGGCCCAAGGTCAACAGAGTTAAGTCTCACCCAAGGGAGGAATGTGACCCAGCAGCATCCAACCCTTGTCCTTAAGGCCCCAAACTTTAAGAACAAGGGAAAAGTTCTCGTTTAGTCATATTGAAACCACTAAAGATAATGGTTCTGAATTTCTTTGTATCACTTCGTATGAATATGGCTAGAAGCGTATTCATGAGAAGTTGGAACGTTTCCCGAGTGGGTTATACATCATAACCATTCGCAGCATAGAAGCCCACAATGTGGTCGACCCTATGCTTGAGTTCCAAAGTACTTCGCTGCTTTGGCATGACCATTTGGGACATCCTGGACGTGACATGATGCGCCATATCCTCAAATCATCACATAGGCATCAGTTACCTCCCTATATTGGATTTTCGCCATGCAAAGCGTGTTCTTTGGGGAAGTTGAATACTCAACTCTTGATTACAAAGATTATTCACAACCCTCTTCAGTTTCTTTAGAGGATTCAATGGGACATTTGTGGACCTATCCAACCAACTTGCGGACCATTTAGATATTTTATGGTGTTGGTTGATGCATCGACACGATGGTCAAATTTTTGCATGTTGTCCACATGTAACACTACATTTGCTAAACTCCTAGCACAAATTATTAAGCTAAGGGCTTACCACCTTGATTATTCGATTAAGTCGATTCAACTGGATAACGTTGGAGAGTTTAAGTCCTAGACTTTTGACGATTATTGCATGTCAGTAGGGATTGAAGTGGAACATCATGTACCTCATGTTCATACCCAAAACGACGTGGTAGAAGTTTTCATAAAGCGCCTTCAATTGTTAGCTTGATCTTTGGTTATGAGAACCAAATTGCCGGGCATCTGCCTGGTGCTATGCAACATTGCACGCAACTATGCTAGTTCACTTGAGGCCCACCGCTACCCAACCACATTCACCATTACAATTGCTTATTGGATTTGAGCCTACCATCTCGCATTTACAAGTGTTTGGGTGCACAATTTATGTGCCAATAGAGCCGCCA